TTTAGGTTCAGGGTCGGATTAAGGTCTTTTGGGGCCCGGGGCTATTTTCACAAAAGGGGCCCCTAGGTCCCTGAAATAAATTCAAACGTCACTCAAACAAAACTTTACATTGCAGGTGTATTTATTACAGTGACTCAGAATTAGGCATTCCAACGACCTGTCAAAAAGTGCGTTGTGGGCGGAAGTTCATTATCCCGTATATGAGAGTATGGAATTTAAAGCTTTTTAAAGTGCATTTTGTGGTTGTTTTGTGAATGAACTCTAATTATTTTTTTTATTTTATTGACTTCATTAGTGTTTCTTCCAATTAAAAAAGCCACAAACGTGTCTTGTACTTGTAGTTGATTGTGGAAGTAGTTTCAACAAGGTAACAAGGATGATGTCAGGCTTTTTCCATTGCCCTCTGTTTTAAAATTTTCCAATTAAAACGTGAAAATTTTTCACTAACAAAGTTCCTGCATCTAAATGTAAGCCAGACTCAAAATACTTGTGAGAATTTAAGCTTTTATAGGCTTCCATTTGCTCATCGATGTGAAATTTGTTAAAACTGTGGGTCAAAATGTCTACTGGACATTTTTTCAAACTAACCGTTCGCCCACATCCCGATTTTCCTGCATTTAAGTCTTTAGATATTCACTCTGCATCTCAAAAAGTATATTATAACAAAGTAAACTGTAATTAAAGTCTGATTTTTTTTAGTTTGAAAATATTCCAAATAAACTCAAGATAAACAAACAAACGTCAAACTTTCCACACTGGCCCGGATAGTGCGCCATCTATCAATAATTATACCAGCTACTCAATAATAATATTATAGGGTAGTGTTGTGTTTGATATAGTGCAAAAATGGATAATTAAAGTCATATTTGAGAAAAACAGAACTTTTCCTACAGATCTCTTATTTAAAGAATCAAAACTTTTTGATATTAGACAACTATACATTTTCAATCTATTAATATGTATACACAAAAATAAAATTTGTACAGACTCACCTACTCATACACACGCTACAAGAAATCGCGAAAATCGGGTACAAGTACCAAGAAGACAAAAGAATATTGGACAGAGACATTTTCAATATATAGCGCCAAAAGCATTTAATCTACTACCAAAATCTGTACAAAATTTAGTCAAAGAAAGAACATTTAAAGGTAAAGTTAAAAATTGGATCCAGGAATCAAACCGCCAGGTACTACATGATTTAGTGAATAATAGATGGAATAAGGGGGGGTAAGTTACATTGAAAAGGAAAATTATTGTTCGTTATACCTTGGCCCTGATTTTATTTATTGTTTATTATTTTTGAGCGATTTTATTATTTTTTTTATTTTTTTTTGTGCTTTTTATGATTTGGCAGACCCTGAACTAGACATTTACACAACCCGATTTTGACAATATTTCCTGATTATGACACTTTTACCCAAATTAGACACCCTTAAACCAAATTGTGACCAAATATTTCTCATCACTAACAAGCTGCAAATAAGTGCAGCTTCTGTGATTTTCGTTTATTTGTACCCTAGTTTATATGGATGTTACTAGATAATATTATTTATTGTGTTATTTTGGTACCTACAATAAACGTATATTTTATTTATTTATTATATAATTAATAGATAATAGATGGCGAAATCGAAATTGTAAAATTATATGCATGATTTCTTCCCCGTGTGAGATGGTGTTTTGGGGCCCCCTCATTTCGGGGCCCGGGGCTTTAGCTCCCAAAGCCCCCCCCTTAATCCGGCCCTGTTTAGGTTTCTGGACTGATTTCTTCTTGTTTAGGGTTTTTTGGGCAGTACCTATTCCTTGCATACATTAGTGTTTAAATTATGTTTTCATTTACTTGAAATCATTTATACTTTGAGTTGTTGCTTTGTTTTTCAAGTAGTTTTCGATATGTTTTTGAAAATGTCTTATTTCCTTTCGGTGTGTCCATGTTTTGGTAGTTTTTTCTTAATCAGTCTGGTTCGTTGTAGTAGCTCTTACCATGCGGTGGTCACTTCTAGTAGCAAATCTGTTTATAACTAACACGTCTTTGAAAATCCGTTTTTTATCTATTACAGTTCCATGCTGTAACCATGCGTCAAACGTGAATATATTTATCTCCTCTCACAACTAAAACTTATTTATTAGAGTGTGGTAACTGCATCCTTGAAAAATACTGCCCAACCACATATGAATCCAATAATAATTATACTCTGTATGCTAAATTACAACAACAAAATCTGTCTAGTAATGAAATTAATCAAAAGCTATTAACGGCTGTTCTAAAAATCTTACTTATCGTGTGAATCTCCTTTAAACCTGTTTCTCTAAGTTGACGTGCCTTCGCTTATGTTGCATTGACGAGAACTAACAAGCTCAAAACCGGTCAGCAATTAGCGCCAGTACCCAATGATTGAGAATTTGGGTTTCTCAGAAGTTTCTCTATTGTCTTATAAAGCAAAACCACAACGTATTGCGCAAGTCTGACCATGTTGGGACAATGCAAACCCCTAAAGTATCAGTAATTAGCAGTGTGTTGGAGGTTTGGTTAAACACTCAAGTGTCAAGATAAGAGTGCTTTTTTATTTTGGAATTAGGTGTGTAGCAAAACGCGCCCAAGTACTATTTTTAATTAGTTAGATGGTAAATGGCGAGCGGTATATTGATGGTGTTTATTTCCTTGGGCGGCTACCTATAAAATTGTGGAGGGGGTCTATTCACAAATGAGAGAAACAAACTATTAAGGTTCACCAAATTATATTTTATTATACTTAAAACAAAAATTATAATAAAGCAAATATCTTTCTGAGTCTGACAGCCTCTTCTAATTTTTCCCAAATCAATTTATTTCACATCCTTTCAAACTTTATTATTTCGGACCAGGAATTATCCGTACTATAAGTTATAGTACGCCCTGACGCCGGACTGACTCATTAGGTACTGTAGACTTTAAACTCAAAACTGCACTGCAGACTGAACTGAACTGCAGAAACTGCTGTATTTATATTTTTCGTTTCCTCCCCAAAATTCATATGTATCATTCATTAAGCTTCCTTTTTTATTTGTTTAAAACCGAATAATTATGTCGCAATTTCCTGGTTTATCGGGGTCAACAGATTTGATTGTAAGAATGTGAGGACACATAACTCAAAGAAAACCGACACACGTGCTGGGCAAAAATCACCTATTTAATTACTTTAGCCTCGCTTTTATAGTTATTTATGTATCAAGGGAATTATGAGGGTGTTAATACCCCAGGGCAACGTTTGTGTCACGAGGGCCTCTGGCCCGAGGGACACCAATTGCCCGTGGGTATTAACACCTGATAATTCCCATGGTACATAGATAATTTTATATCCTACTGAATTTAGTGTATTCTATCTATTTTTATAAAGGAATAAACCATAAACCAAAATTTCTTTTTTTCTCAAAGTTTTACCTATTCAAGGTAATAGCGGGAGTCATGGAAATCCTTAACTCCCTTGGGAGTTATGATATCCTTAACTCCCGCGCGGGAGTTATGAAATCCTTAACTCCCTTGGGAGTTAAGACCCTGTTTATGACTATCGTAACCAAGGTATTATATGGTTATAATAGTACAGTAGGATATAAATATTTTTATATCCTACTGAACTATTAAAACCATATAATACCTTGGTTACGATAATCATAAACAGGGTCTTAACTCCCAAGGGAGTTAAGGATTTTCATAACTCCCAAGGGAGTTAAGGAAGGGTGTTAAGAATATCATAACTCCCAAGGGAGTTAAGGATTTCCATAACTCCTGCTTTTACCTTGAATAGGTAACACTTTGACAAAAAATAGAAATTTTGATTTATGGCTTATTCCCTTATAAAAATAGACAGAATACAGTAAATTCAGTAGGATATAAAATTATCTATGTACCACAGGAATTATCAGGAGTTAATACCCACGGGCAATTGGTGTCCCTCGGGCCGGAGGCCCGAGGGACACAAACTTTGCCCTGGGGTATTAACACCTGCATAATTCCCTTGATACATAAATAACTATTATATCCTACTGAACAATTAAAACCATATAATACCTTGGTTACGATAATCATAAACAGGGTCTTAACTCCCAAGGGAGTTAATGATTTTCATAACTCCCAAGGGAGTTAAGGAAGGGAGTTAAGGATATCATAACTCCCAAGGGAGTTAAGGATTTCCATAACTCCCGCTTTTACCTTGAATAGGTAACACTTTGACAAAAAATAGAAATTTTGATTTCTGGCTTATTCCTTTATAAAAATAGACAGAATACAGTAAATTCAGTAGGATATAAAATTATCTATGTACCACGGGAATTATCAGGAGTTAATACCCACGGGCAATTGGTGTCCCTCGGGCCGGAGGCCCTCGGGACACAAACGTTGCCCTGGGGTATTAACACCTGCATAATTCCCTTGATACATAAATAACTATTATGGATTTGATTTAAATGATGACACAAGCTTGGTGACTAACTAACAAAATTTGAACGTATATAAATATTTTAATTAATTTGGGGTCAACGCTAATTTGTTTCATTTTCAGTTTATTGACGATTTGAAATACAGGAAATTCAGTTTTTGATTATTTGATTACATTTAATTTTTACAGTAAAGACATTGTAAGTTACGGGTCTATTTTTCCCGGGTCATTACAAGGTGCTGTAAAAAAAACTAACTTTGTAGAAATAGCCTATTTACTAAGATTGTCACAGGTATCAAGCTGCGTTTGATGACTAGATATAGTTTATTTTCCCAAATTATGTCTGTAAATCTTTTAAGACACTCTGTACTTACAAGTTTGTTCCAACAAACGAATCAGCACAATTTTCCAAATTCTCAAGTCTACCAATTGAAACTGTTCTGGTTCGTTTGAAACAAACATTTTTATTTAGTTTATTTTTGCATAACAGTTTTCTACAGATTTTTTCAAGGCTATCATCCATATATGCCTTCATAAAATCCGTAGACCCAATAAAAAAAATACAAACATTAAAATTTTCAGTCAATGAACCTCACCCCGTTCGATCTAACAGTCGACATGTTGGACGTGCACGCGGACAGAAACACTTTCCACAGATTTGACAAATTCAACGCAAAATATAATCCGATTGGTGAGAGTAGGCTCAGAGAAGTCTTCCTTAAAACCGACAACTTCATAAAAGGAAAATATTTCGCCAGCATTATAAATGAAGTCTCGAGCGATCTGGAAGAATCCAAATACCAAAATGCCGAGCTGAGGCTCAGTATTTATGGTAAAACTAAGGACGAATGGGACAAATTAGCTTCTTGGGCTATAGATTCCAACGTTTACTCTGATAATGTGCGTTGGTTGATTCAAACGCCCAGATTATTGTAAGAAATTTCAAGACATAAATATTAGAATAATTAATTAAATTATTGTGCCTTTTTCAGTGACATTTTCAGACTAAACAAAGTCCTAACCAATTTCCAAGAAGTAATCGACAACATTTTCCTGCCCCTATTTGAAGTAACAGCCCGACCAAGCTCTCATCCAGAGCTACACAAATTCCTTCAATACGTGATTGGTTTCGATTCTGTAGACGATGAAAGTAAGCCAGAAAAGAATCCATTGTTCGACAAAGAAACGCCAAAGCCTGAAGACTGGTGCGACGATGAAAATCCAAATTACGCCTATTACATGTATTACATGTATGCTAATTTATGTGTACTAAATCATTTCAGGGCTGAAAAAGGATTGCCGACGTTTGTATTGAGGCCTCATTGCGGTGAAGCTGGACCTGTGCAGCATTTAGTTTGCGGCTATATGTTATCAGAAAATATTTCCCATGGGCTACTGTTAAGAAAAGTCCCTGTATTGCAGTATCTTTATTACTTAGCTCAAATAGGCATAGCAATGTCACCGCTATCAAATAACAGCCTCTTTTTAAACTATCACAGAAATCCTTTGCCAGAATATTTAGCCAGAGGCTTGGTAGTGTCCCTTTCTACTGACGATCCACTTCAGTTTCACTTCACCAAAGAACCTTTGATGGAAGAATATTCGATTGCAGCTCAAGTATGGAAATTATCCAGCTGTGATATGTGCGAACTGTCCAGAAACAGCGTCCTGATGTCAGGATTTGGACATAAAACCAAGCAATATTGGCTCGGGCCCAATTATACTAAAGAAGGCGTTGCTGGAAATGACATCGCAAGAACTAACGTTCCGGATATTCGAGTTGCTTTCAGATACGAAACGCTTATCGATGAATTGTCTAATATTTTTAAAAATCATAAATTAGAAATGGAAATGTTGGAGCAAAGTAATACTAGCACATAAATAATCGTAAATAGTTGAGTAACCATAGACTATAGATGGAAAAATTTAAAAAGCTTATAAACAACCTCAAATAATTTTTATTAATTTATTATCATAAACCTCCTCCTAGGAAATATTGTGATGTTCTGAAGCCTTAAAACCGAAACGAAAAATAGGGTAACGGAGATTTTCGAAGCTATAGTAAACTTTACATATTTTTATATTTCTTTTTATTATGAGTTTACAATTTATAAAATTAAGGGTAGCTGAAACTACTAGAGTTATGAAAGAATTTTGAATAGTTACCTACCTTGTTCTAGTAGTTCAAAATAATAATTACAATATTAGAATGTTGAATACAAACTAGAATACTTACATTAAAGTAAATAACTATGATGTAGCCTTGCAATTTATTAATTAATCATATTTTTCAGCAGTTGAAAAACTAATTTTTCAATTTATTATTCACTGCAATTATATTAAGTACTGTACTAAAATGTGATGACTGATAAATTCATCTATTAATTTATGATAATTTTTCCTTTATTCATGTTAAATAAAGCACTAGAAAAAAATTATAGTATGTAGGTATTTAGTATTTTTTTGTCTCCAAAACATAATTTTTTCTTCAGCTGTGCGGAAGAATCAACTTTCCGCACCCAAAAGCATGCGGAAAATTGATTTTATTTACAATCATACATGTAATGTTGACTTTACTGACTTTTAAAAAGTTCGAAAATGTCACTTTTTTGACTTTTACTTTCGGCCCACGGGTCGAAAGTTTACTTTCGACCCGTGGGCCGAAAGTAAATGAAATTTTTAAAATTTATTGTATTTTTTGACTCTTACTTTCGGCCCACGGGTCGAAAGTAAACTTTCGACCCGTGGGCCGAAAGTAAATGAAATTGTTAATTATTGTATTTTTGAGTTTTAATCCAAATGAAAATTTCAAAATTCGAATGATTGTAAATAAAATAGTATACATACCTCGGTGAAAAGTTTAATTACTGTCTCGAGAATTCAGTTAGACCTCGGCAGCGCCTCGGTCTAACTTAAATCTCTCGACAGTAATGAAACACTCTCCACCTCGGTATGTAATATACTATTTCCGCCACACTTTCGAAAAACTTGTTCCTAACATTTGCGGAAAATGTTATTCTGCGCGCGGCTGACTCGTGCGGAATATTTTTCCGAAATTTTTGGGTGAATAGCTCTTTTCACCAGCGTGCGTGTAACCCCGCTTTTCCGCACGCATTTAAGGTCATGAAAGTACTGCAATAGTGCGGAAAAGTAAAAATATCTAAAATGGTAGGTAGGTAGATACCCATCGAGGTACCTATATACCAAAGTTCACAAATATTAGTGTGCAAAAGTACTTTTCCGCACTATTGCGGAAAACTAAAATATATTGAAAATTGGTAGGTATCGGTAGGATATAAATACCCCGATAAATAATTACAAATATTAACTTTCATCTCGAAGAAAAAATAGTTTTTCTACTCACCTAGTCAGGAAATCAATTATTTCGAACAGAGTGTGCGGAAAGTACTTTACGCACGCTAAAAAAAATGACACTTCCACTCAATTTTTGTTTTGCCCACTCGTGTGGTTTGTGCCACTCGCCTGTAGGCCCTGCGGCTCGTTAAAAGTGCTATTTTCAACACTTGTTGCACAATATACTAGGTAGTTCCTAACTATTGCAAAAGCCAAAAAGTGTCTATAGAAGTTTACTTCATGTGCCAGTGCGCCCTCAAATCGCACAGTGTTGCCAGATCTCACGATTATTCCTAAGATTACACGATTTTGGTCAGAATTTCACGATCTCATGAATGAGGTAGCAATTCTTACGAATTCTCTCTGTAGTAATACAAATCGATAATTAAATATATTGCTTAACCGAAATGAAAATCTACTATCCAATATTTAGTTATGTTACGCCTCTCTTGGAACATGCGCGCCGCGCGCTCAAGAAAACTTAACCTAATAGGACTGCTTATTGTGCTGAAAAGTGAAAGTGTCTGCCATGTCAGTCTCAGACCTCAACTCTTGGCGTAAAATGCATTATCCGAGTTTAAAAACACTATAGGTCAAAAAAACGAATTCCTAAACGTTAAATCACCTTTTCTAAATTTAAAATCGAAGAAAAATTAAGCACAAGCACAGTCTAAATCGCAAGCAATTCATCGAGGTCTGCGGGTGACGTCACCACTATCAGCAGCTGATAGTGGTGGCGTCACTCGCAGTCCTACCGCCGATTCGAGAACTAGCGAACGTACGCCTTATGAGAAATCCTGCGGATAGTGAACGTGAAAACGAGGCTCAGCTTCCAGAAATACCTGCTAAAAAACGGAAAATATATGGATACAAGAGATTTAATAATAAAATGTTTATTTCTTATGAAATTAAAATCATGTTTACTTTATCAAAAATCTATAAAAAAAATTATTGTGCTTCATTTTCTTTTACCATTAAGCAATTTTTAGCCTCACGATTTCTCACGATTTTTCTTTCTCGACTCTCCATCCTGGCAACGCTGAAATCGCATTCTGAGAGTAAGTATATACATTGCAATAATTCATGTTCGACTACGCAGGCACAGCAGTTCTATGGAAACCAAACCACCGATTCCAAACGAAGACAAATAATTAATATTCGAATGTCGAAAGAAAAATTTGCACAAAGTTACCCTCAAAAAATTTTGTATCTCCCTTTCAAATCAATTTGCTCGGAATGCTCCAAAATGTATTATTGGCTCGGTCCTGAGATCCACTCCTTTTGCAGCAAAGTAAAAAATGGTTACGAACTCGGAGCAACTCGGTTAACTCCAATAAACGTTAACTCAGTTCATAAACGAGTTAAGCCTAGTACTCATAACTGCGAAATTCGCATTTTTTTGACATTGCGTTGAGAATTTGACGTTTTATGCGTGTATCAAACGTCAAATTGTCGAAGCAATGTCAAAAAAATGCGAATTTCGCAGTTATGAGTACTAGGCTTTAGGGTGGATTTTCATGCATCCGTTTGTCCGACGAAATATGTCCGAAAAATCTTCTATTTTGACATATTTTTATACGATTATGTCAGAATAGAATGTTTTTCGGACATTTTTCGTCGGACAAACGGATGCATGAAAATCCACCCTTAACATTTCTCATTCATTCCATCCGAGCTTAGAGCGGGTAGTGCAATAAGTTTTTATTCGGGTTATTGAAGTGTTGCCAATTAGCGTGTAATTACACGATTCGCGTGTATTTTGATTGGCTTGCGTGTATTTCTCGAACATAAACAAAAAACGTGTATTTTGCGTGTAATTTGAAAAATTTGACATTCTCTTTATTTTTGTTCTGTTTCAAAGGTTTCACGGCTTTCCAATCTAAAGCCACGGCCCCATTGTGACCTAAATAGGACTTGACGTTTTCTCTTCCCTTAATTGCTCCTTGCATTCCATTCCATCATCATAGGTGCTTTCTTTTCAGAACTTTGAAACCCCGGGCTTCGACGCCCTGGGGGCGTCAGCGCACGCCCTGAAAAGAACGGTAATTAATGGTGGATTGCACAAAAAAAATTACTCCTCATTCTTAGCACGTACTTAGCTAAGCATGATCTTAAAATTTAAGTTTGCATTGATCGCTTTTACTTGCACCAACTTTACGTAAAGGAAACCTAGCTAAGGTTAGTTTGAATTCCGAACTAGCTGGCAACAGCGCAGGATGTACGCATTTCGATTTAAATACAGAATATACGTCATAGTTGTTATTAGTTGTGAGAGATAAAGATGAAAAATGTTTATGATTTCTTGAGAGACACCAAACAATACGAATCAACAACGAATCCACACGTACAAACTGAAAACATAACCAAGCTTTGTCCACCCAAATTAACCTTGAACCATAGACCCAACTACTACTTCGTAGTAGTTAGGTCTATGCTTGAACCACGAATTCGCCGCACTTTCGCATTTGTACCTATGTAGGTGATCTGTGGTATTATGCCCAGGCAAACTTAAAATTTTTTTATTTGTATTTTTTGGTAATAAAATAATAATTTAATACAAACTGCCTTTATTTTATACAAAACACAATACCTAATTTAAACAAGTTTGAAAAATACGTATAAGTACTTAGGGATCCTAATTTAAATTTTGAAAATATTGTACCATTTCCCATTTCATTTCTGAAGGCTCTTATTGCTCCTACATCATCAATATTCAATACCCATGTTTGGTGGATTGGGTATCCTTTGCATTTCTATTAAATAATTTAAATTATCTCCATCTAGCTTTACAGGGGGTACCTCCCTCCTCCCTATTTATAATTGCAACATTATGGAGAACAGCTGTGGCTACTATGGTTAATAACGATGTTTGTAGCTTCATAGACTTAAATACTACGAATAGACGTCCAGTCAAATGGTAAAAATCTGCGACGCTATTTGGAGGCTCGCTATCGAAAGCGAGCCTCCAAATTCAATTCAGGCTCTGGTATTTTAGATGCTGGATACGAGATGGCGCTCATTTCTGTCATAATTCAAATTCGCGCGTTACGCTGTTGCCAATAGTTCTAAAATAACTAGTCCAAAATCATTAAATAGGCCAAACCATACATTAATGGCCGTTTCCACCAACGGAAATTTAAGTTTACTTAACGTTAAGTGCCGCCTATATTATAATTTTGTTTCCACCAGTCTAACCTAGTCTCATTAAGACAAGCTTAACTAAGCCCAGAAATTTCTAGGCTTATTCCTCCCTTAACAAAGCGGCGATGATCTGCGCAAGTCATTTGCATCATATGTTTTTGTTGACATAACGAACGTTGAAATTGAATTGAGATAAAATTAGAATGTTCGCAATTTTCTAATTTCTGATGTAGTTCGCGTTTTTTTTTTCTCCCAAAACCTATTTTTTTCAGCCAGAGATACTCTGTGTTATTTTTTTTTTATTTTCGATTATGTTCTTATTTTTTGATGTTAACGATAATAGAAACTTTTTGCATCCCTTAAAATAACAGCAGTTTTTGTATCAGTTATGGTTACCTTTATGGGCGATAACGATTACCACGACCTCGACCACGACCTTCAAAATCAGAGATTTTGCATCGTCTAACGTTTACATATTTCCGTTATTTCTATTTTGCCTCTGGGCCATGAACTGCGCCTGCGCCTTCAGTTGTAAACCAATTTCATAACATCAAAATGATAACCACACTTCAGAATTTCAGATGATTTTAATTAATTATTTATAAAAACGGGATTTTTCATCAATGTGGCATCCACACAGTTTTACCATAACCATAGGTATAGCTAGAAGCACAAGGTTATTCCTCCTTAAATAACGCCGCTGTTGTGGTTGATAAGTACAACGAACATTTTTTAGCTACTGCGCATACTCAGTATAACGATAACCACAACGGAATGGCAAAATAAGAGGTGCAAAAAGTCTCTATTATCAGCTCTTTTTCCTTTATTGTGTAGTTTGTCTGGCTTTTTTTGGATAAACTCTCCCTGTTTGTTCTTATTCCCCGACTCCACGCTGCTTTAGGCACCTTCGTGCTCGTTCACACACAATGCAGGATAAATTACCAATATCTAAACCTCTTCTCTGTGAAATAAACCGAACCCAGACAACAACAACTATCTATTATTAATTATAATTTATAATCTTAAAAAATTAGCGGGAAGCGTCGAATGACAGATAACATTG